CGGCGAGACACTCCCGAGGGTTGTTCCCTGACATTCCAGACGGGCCGATTGAAGTAAATAAACTGTAGCATAGTCGGGCCAACAGAAGGCAGAGAGAGAGAGAAAAAAAAGGAGGGAGTAAAATGGATCTTCTCGAGGCCGGGGAGAAGCTAGGCCTCTCAGGGGAGGAACTACGGAGGTTTGTGGGAGAACAACAGGCCAGGGAAAGGGACGAAAGGGCGGAAGAGAGAGAGCTGGAGAAGCTGAGGTTAGAAGCCGAAAGGCTGAAGATAGAGGCTGAAGAGAAGGACAAGGAGCGACAGATAGAGATAGAGAAGCTGAAGTTTGAAGCGGAAAGGCAGAAGGTGGAAAATGAAGAGAAGGAGAGGAAACGACAGACCGAAATGGAGAAGCTGAAGATGGAAGCGGCAGAGCGAGAGAAGGCGATGGAAGCGGCAGAGAGAGAGAAGGCTAGGGAAGCGACAGAGAGAGAGAAGGAGGCAGAAAGAAAACATCAGCTGGAAATGAAGAAGTTGGAGGTGGAGATGGCCGCTGTGGGACCGCCGACAGGGGGGCAGGCCGTGGCCAAGGTACCGAGGCTGCCATCATTCGTGGATGAAAAGGATGACCTGGATGCGTACCTGTTAAGGTTTGAAAGATTTGCGACCTCTAGCCAATGGGCCGAGGACAAATGGGCCGCACACTTAAGTGCGCTGTTGACGGGTAGAGCCCTCGAAGTATACTCAAGGCTCCCCGAGGACGAGGCACGGAGCTACACGGCGGTAAAACGGCCTTGCTAAAAAGATATAATCTTACAGAAGAAGGCTTTCGGGCCAAGTTCCGACAGAACAAGGCAGAAAAGGGGGAAAGCCCGCAACAGTTTATCGTGAGGCTCACCAGCTACCTTGAGCGCTGGGTGGAGTTAGCTGAATCGTCCAAGAGCTACGAGGGCCTCAGGGATTTGTTCGTAAAGGAACAGTTTCTGGAGGCGTGCCCACGAGACCTGGCAGTACGGCTTCGGGAGCAGGGCCCGTCATCATTGGACGAACTAGCCGGGATGGCCCAACATTACTTGGAGGCCCACGAGAGAGAGCTCGGCAAGAAGGAGGAGGAGGAGGGGAAGAAAACAACACCAGTCCGCAGCCGCGCCTATCTCGGGACAACGAGCGGGGTAGCTACGTGTTACACCTGCGGGGACCCCAGCCATTTTGCGAGGGACTGTCCTATGTCCAAACAGGACGCCCGATCCACAGGGGCTACGTCCTTCTTTGGGGGGAGGAAGATCAGGTTCCCACAGACAGCATTTGACCTCACAGGCCAGGTGGAGGGAAAGACGGTCCCGTTGCTGTTGGACACTGGCAGTACACAGACGCTGATCAGAGAGGACCTGGTGGATCCGACAAAAATCGCACATGACAATCAAGGCGGCATTACTTGCATTCATGGCGATGAAAGGAAGTACCCGACTGCACTAGTAGAGGTCCAGATAGGACACAGAAGCTACAAGATAAATGCGAAAGTGACCCCAAACCTCCCACACCCCGCTATACTCGGACGGGATGTTCCCCATCTTGCCGAACTGGTACAGCAGTGCGCATCTGGAAGGCTGGCACGGGAGTCGCTCGTGGCTACGAGGGCTCAAGCACGCAAGGCAGCTCAGGGGTTTATCGGCTTACAGAAAGCAATGCAGCAATCTGGAGTTCAACCGCGGCAATTCTTGTCAACATTCGGTCATTATAGGAATGGTTATGATCGTGGCGGCACCAAGTCGTACAACTTTGCCGGCTATAGACCAAAACTGCGCCTGGCTGCACGTACCAAACCCTTTGGGAGCCCTCATCTCCCAGCACCAGGGAAGGCCCAGTGGCGCATCTTTGGTGGCGCCAAACCGGTGGACACAGCAGCGAGGGAGCGCATGATTGATGAGAAGCTGTCACAACAGAAGGTCGGGGTGTGGAGGCACCCCACCTGGGGTTGACGCATCGGGCGGGAAAGGCCAATGCCAACGCCGACGCGCTGTCCCGGGCCTAAGACAATGCCCTATGCACGCACGGTGCTCAGTACTAGTACTAGTAGGACTCTCTAGTGTTACGTAGGATCTTAGACCATTATCCATTATGGCTGTTAGAGAAAGGTTACTGCATGTTAAACTGTCATTGTTACTAATGATTATGTAGTATTAATTTGTTCATAGCGGTTGTTGACGTTGTTATTGCCAACGTTCAATTAGACGTGGAGCCTTGTAGCTAACCTGTTTGGACCTCAGTGAAAGGACACATTCATATATACTTTAGATCATGTAGGATCCGTTTTCTATTGAATATTTTATAGTTTTGTATAAGTCAAAGCATGCGAGCCACCGGACCTGGGTCATTAAGACAGAGAACGTTGAGTTTTGTGATTGAAGGTAGAGTTTCAATCACGAGAAAAGGGGCAGGTGTGACGGAGCACATGTAATGGCTTTGGGTAGGCCCAATGAGGGGAGCGTGGGGCCCGGAATCAGGCAGTTGGGCCCAAGCTAGAGAGGGGGAAGGTCCGGTGGAGGACTGTTGTAGACCTCTTAGGAAAAGCATTAAACGTTCAACTCGCTCAACTCGGCTCATTGTCTGACACCGGCATTTCCTGGACTTGTAGTCCGGGGCGCAGAGCGTTTGTGGCTGCCTTGGCAGGAAGGGTAAACAAGGTGCTACAACGATATTCCTGCTTCAACAAGGAGGTTCGTTTAACCACAAAATCCATCATGTATTCACTATTGTGTGCGTACATCGAATCCATGTAACTAACAACACCACTTCAAGGCAGCAACCAACCAGTGGTACCAGCATGGAAACGCAACCTTTCAAGCCCTCTATGGAGTAATGGGACTGGGAAGTAATCAAGGAAGAGGTGGCGTCATGGCCAGGTGGAAAGGATGTCAGTTGGAGAGAGTATGCCAAGGACATGGGGATCCATAATAAGAGGGGGGAACCAGCCAAGAATGGTGTCCAGATGCTACAAGACTGGCTGATAGGAGAGGGCATCAACATCCATCGCTTTAATACTGCTGGGAGGTCAGCCACTTCGACACCAAGGCCTAGGCGGAGGAGGAAGAGGATTTTTGGCTCCGGTAATGTCACAATGCCCACCCCCAGGACAGCCACACAGATGAGGGGAAGTCTGACTATCATGATCAAAGATGGCCAGATCCCTATTGGAGAGATCATAACAGCGCTTTCATCGTTGGAAAAAAAAGCGAAGGCATGTCAGCATAAGGACCTACCAACATTCTCAGCTACGCTAAACGAAGCCAAATGTTACATGCAGCATCCTTCGTTAGGTAAGATGGTTCTCAGGGCGCTTGGCCCGAAAGAGGATGAGGCGGTAGCTAAAAAATTTGCGGCGGTTGCCAGTAATGCCTTCCCCCCATGTGCCAATAATAATAGACTGTTTTTTTTTAGTTTGTCAGTAACATTTTAATGGCAATTAAGGTTCTTTTTTCTTTAATCTGCAGGACTGAAAGGCCAACTTGTCGAAAACGTTATACCTGCAGCTGGTCAACTCTGCAAAAGAGTATAAAAACAAGTATATACTTGGGTTTTGTGCCTGGCTGGTAAAGCTGTTAGTTGTTAGAGAGCCATCTAGAACAGGCCAGCACAGCGGTAATCTGGATTCCAGAGAATTAATTTAGCAAACCTTTCTGTCCCAACTTCAGGTGAAGGTGGGGTATCTGATGCCGGGTCACGCCCATGAAGATGTTGACCAAACGTTCAGCAGATTTTCGGTGCATCTTTTAAGGCATGGCGCACCGTCAGTGCCAGACCATGAAACGTTATTCAGTCAGCTGGCCGAATCTCTCCACTAAAGTTGCCCCCTGATACATTCCATTTCATGGACATTACTTGTCAGACAGAAGCTCCAAGAACCTGTCTAAATAGTACAAGCAACCCCAGCAGCAGGGCACCCCCCACCCCCCCCACCCCAGACACTCCCGACTGGTGAGTGGCAGGACACCGCCCAGTCCTCATGGCTGACTGATTTACCTTGAAGTGCCAAGGTAAGAGTTTTTGTTTACCACTGTTGTACCACTGTCTCAAATGGAGGGGTAGAAACACCCCCAAAAAACATAAAACTCCAAAATAAGTATAGTATCTCTATTAAAAAGAACAAATATTAATTAAAGAAGGGAAGCGAAGTCCGACTGCCACTGTGACTATGGAAGCCATGTTGTCCAAATACGTATCCAACGACGTTCATGACTGGGATGACCACTTACACCACTTACGTTCTACTGGCCTACAATACATCAACCCATGCCTCGACAGGCTACACCCCAGTCTTCCTTACACACGGGAGAGAAGCGGTCCTCATATGTAATGTTTGATACAGGCTTACAAGGGTTTCGGGCAGCTACGACGAGCTCCATACGCCACCACGCTCACCTCCAGCCCTTACGCCAAGCTCACATGTCAGACGCCAAGCAGTCTTTCAAGTCTGCTCGGACTGACATGCAAGCTGTACATAGAGTTTAAAATGACCTCTGACCTCCGAAAAAAGATGATCTGGACTGTTATGGACATGAGTTAAGAAATTGTGGTCTGGAAAGGTAAAGAACATTGTTGAACGTGTAAGCAGTGACTGGGTGAGTGCTCTGCCGTCAGTGGAGACAGCCTTGAACACCACTACTGTACGCAAAGACATCGGCAGGTTAAGCATATATGCACCGATTCAAAGGAAATGACTACAATCAGATAACCTGACAAATAGTTCTATGATTACTAACAGATGGCAAGAGCCCATTTCATGTAGAGTTTGGTGTCCGAAGCTGCTGGGAAACGAGAGACACACACCAACCCGAAGGAATCAAGGATAAGGACGGAAGGGTATATGGTTATGTAGAATAAATAAAACAGGAGCAGTGACTGGGTCCCGCGGCGTATGGCACTAAAAAAGAACTCCACTACACTTGCATATTCCTAGCTATTTGCACAATACTTAGCAGGGCTGAGCCAGGATCACAGTCAAAAGACAAGCAAGAGATAAAGGAAGTACGGGTCACGTACGTGCCACTTCTTGTAGCGACGATGGGTTTTCTTCTGCATGACCCTGCAAACAATAATGCCGGGGACTTCAGATGGGCCGGCACCATTCTGTTGGCGGCTGATACAACAGACTTGTATCATGTTCTACTTAAGATTACATGAAGCAGCGTGGTGGCATGTATTACAGCTTGGAGCTGTCTGGCATTGAGATATAGTGTAAACAGTATATACCTGTACATACGCAGGAAATTGTGTTATTCCTTCCTTAATAGACTACGCCACCACCAACAACAGTATAATATGCTGTCAGTTCAGAAATACGTATTTTAAAAATGTATATATATATTGTTGTATGTTTAGTGCTTATGTGGTTTTATGTCTGTCATATCTACAACTGGCTTCAGTACAAAAAGGCTGTAGATTTACTAAGACATGAGTATCCTGACGTACAAGTCATGGTATTGGCACCCGGATACACGTTCTAACTAGTCAAACATTAAACCGCCCTTTCCAGGGCCACCCAAGAAATTCAATGAAGTCTCACAACACCACAGTATTAATGTGAGAGCGATTGTCAAAAAGTAAGTTTTAGCAGGTTGACCTTACCTAAAATAAAACAATAAAGGAGAATAAATGCAGTATGTCTGTTCCCCTGGTTCTAATTCTCCAATTAATGCTAATTAAATGCACTTTTACACCTTTTGACACTCAGCAATCTCTATCCAAAGACTGGCTGCATGCCAGTTTCGACTGGAAGGCTACTAATATCTCGTACAAACTTTCCTGAGAAGATCATTTTGCTAATTTTAACTGTCATTTGACATTTTGAAAGGTATGATCGTAATATATATCTGTCAAGGAGCAAACGACCTGTAAGTTGGCTGTTTACCTCACGTTTGCTGTCGAATGAACGTAGTTGGTAGAAACAGCTACGTACTGTTTCCCATGCAGGGGCAAGTGGCATCTGTGACGTACGTAAACATCAGCTGGAGGTTTTGACCTCGGTAGAAATCGTTCCCGTTCTCTTCAAACCATTCCTACATACGGTTGATAACTTCATATGCAATATATATGTGAGCACAGTGTGTTTTTATTGCTTGTAAACACTGTATTTCAAAGATATGAAACAGAGCCTGTTAATCGTCATGCTATAGACTTGCCTTACCCATTGGCTGACATTGTACCAACATTCACTACATTTAATTATTGCACCTTACTGTCACTAGTTTTGTTTATGTGTGTTTTAAACAGTGTTTATGTTGGTTTTACGTAGATGGGAAAGTCACGGGCAGAAATTCAGCGAGCCTACAGGGAGAGGAAGAAGGCAACGGAGGGCGAAGAGTTCAAAGCTAGAGAGGTTGCACGTGTCATGAAACACTACATGCCATCGGCCTCGTTGAGTCCTGAAGCCAGGGAGAGAAGAAATGCAAAAGCAAGAGAAAGGATGAGGAGATACAGGGCAGGGAAACGTGACCGAGAAAAAGTAATCATCAAAATGGACTTTAATAAGAGCAAACGACGAAGTGGGCCCAACAAGAAGATCAAACGACTACAGAGAAAGTTGGCCAAAACGCAGGTAGCTAAACCGGAAACTACAAAAGAGGTTGGAACGATTAACAAGGAAAGACCAGAAGGGAACCCCAAAGGAATCTATGACACCTCGCGGCAAGACTGACTCTGAAATAAGGAATGCTGGTCTGACGCCCCGGAAAGTGCCAGATGCGCTGAGGAGAAAAATCCTATTCTCAAATGTAGTCACCTCTGGTATAAGTGAATCGTACCGCAAGAAGACGTCAGACGGAAAGCGTGTTCTCAGAAGAGTGCTCGCAGGCAAGATTGTCAAGAAATACCGCATGGTCAGTGCACTCTCGCGTGAGATTGGATTTGCTAGAAGCACGAGAATTGACGGAAAGAAAAGGACAAGACTTTCCACTTGTGC